TGGTAGATGGTTTCTGTGTCGTTTGTTGTGCTTGGTGAGGGGGGTTCGTTGATTGTGTTGTCTGGTATCGTGGGTTAGAGGTGGATTTGTGTAGAATGGATAGAGTGATTACCGTCTGCTTTGATCACAACATCTCCTTGTAGTCTCTCCCCGTCTCCCCGGATCACCTCTGCAGTCTTGCTGTTTACTTCTCGCACTGCGGCAGATCGGATCTCAGTACCCAATTTCAGTGCCCTGTCTCGGAGAATTTGGAGCAGATCTGCTCGGTGGATTGATCTCCATACAGTCAGCACATCTCTAGTTGCTGGGCGAATGATCATGAGGATTGCTTACATCCATGGCCCTCCATATACTCGACACGTCTCCTCCCCGCATGGCATTGATCTAATCAATCCACCATCGGCATATCGTCGGAAATCAATCGTCTGGAGTATATCCCCCTTCTCGAGTACTGCATTGAGCAAACCCAATCGGCGGAGGAGATGTGTTCCGTTAGGCGGGATCTGGACGCCCGGGGTAGTCTAATGCAAGAATATCTGGGTAAGCAAGTCTATCTTTTATGATTTGTGGCCGGGCGCATTTCGAGATGGGAGGTTCGTGGTACCTCAGTATCTTGTTCAGACTCGAGCACGATCACGTCCAGATTTTCGCGACGACAAGTAATTGCGCACACGAGGGCCGAAACATCCCCTCCTATTATGATGACTTTCATGGTGTCCTAATCCGCGCTCTTAGCGTTTCTGTTTCCCAGGCGGATACTACAGTAAACAGCAGCTGGTTTGGTAAATATATTAGGTGGGAAAACCGGCGTCAGTTGCACAGAACCCCTCTGAATGGCCCTGGGAGCCATTGTGCTATTTAACCTTTGCCAATGGTTGTGTATCCATCCATTTCTTTTTCCTACGGAGCGTCTATTCGGCCTCGGGCGTGACCGGATCACAGGGCAGTGGCCGCATCTGCAGGGAGCAAACGCAAACTTGACCCATTTCTGTCAGCCGTGCAGCTGGCCTGGGCCTCAGCCTTGGGAACTGGGCTGTCGTGGTGGAGTACTATTGGGTAGCATGATTACTTTGTTTGGATGCACACGCCACGGAACCAGTGCTTTTTCTTTGTGTCGTCACTTTCTGCATTCTCGGTGATGCGGGGTAGATAATATCCTAGAATGCATTCCATTATTGCAATGGCTCCAGCCACCGCTTTTCGTCAGAGCCGAGTGGTTTGGGCATAACTTCGCAGCCGATCTCAACCCCTTCAATGTTCGCAGCGTGACGAATGGCGGTCATCTCCCCAAACCCCGTGCTTCGGGTCTCGAAATACTCGATCGGAACATTTTGGGGGCGAGTATAATCTGGTGACTCTTGAAACCCTGTCTTCCCTTCGTATTGGCCTAGCGAGCGCAGGTATTTCATCACCCCTGCTAGCGAGACATCCACCTGCCAGGATCCCCCTTCCGTTGCTTGCTTGTACAGCGCGGCCATGATCCCGGACGCGAGGAAGAAGCCCCCGGCATGATCGAGCGCCTGACAGGGAAGTGGGCGTGCGGCTTCCCCAGCACCGAAGTGCTCGGCCTCCGAAACGTTCATGCCGGAGCAGGTTTGAACCAGGGAGTCAAAGCCTCGACGCGCTGACCAGGGCCCATCGGGGCCGTATGCAGACATGTTTGCGTAGATGATACCACGATTTGGCCGTCTGTTCATGATTGATTCTGGTGAGAGTCCACGGGCAGCTAGGCTGCCCGGTCTATACCCCTGGATGAAGACATCTGTATCGTCGAGCAAAGCGAAGAACTCCTCTGTGTCTTGCTCGTCTTGTAGATCGAATTGGACGGTCCTCTTTCCGCGGCCGAATTCCCGATCGAGTCCTGGCAGGTCGGGCAGATAAGGACTCGTCACCCAAAGCACATCGGCCCCGTGTGCGGCCAGTGTCTTCCCGCACAACGGGGCCGCAATGACCCGTGAGAGTTCAAGAACACGCAGCCCCCGCAGACATTTATCGGCGTGTGGGCCGATCCGGGCGGGGAGACCAGCCGGGGCGTCGCCGATTTTGCGAAGCAGGATGGGAAAGTCTGCGATGGCTTTGGCTTGCGGCAACACATCCCATTGTTCGTAACTGCGGAGAGCAGTAATGGCCAGCTTGGCCTCAACGGCAGTGGTTTCGAGGTCCACGGAGCGCCATGCCGAGATCTTGGAAGCAACTTCGTCTCTGGTAGCGGTTGGAGAGCAGCCAAGAAGGGATTTTGTTCCCTCACGGTGGTTGGGGAACGAATCATGAACGCGGACGTAGCCGTCAGATGATCGATAAAGACCGCCAATGAGCCCCCAATCTGAAGAGGGAGGCCGGCCGTTCAGAGTGTACAGGCGTGCGGAGTTGAACTCAATGCAGGCATGATCATAGGGAACGGTGACTTTGGGAGGGGCGATGTTATTCCTGAGGCTATGGACTTGAGATGCCAGGAGAGCAGAGAGTGCAATTGAGGCTTGGGCGATATGGCCGATTTTGAAGGAGGAGGGAAAGCCGGGATTAGGAGGTTCGCTGATACAGAGAGAGTCAAGGGTGTCTGGGGGAAGATGGAGACCCTGCCAAAGATACGTGATGGTATCGCGAGATGTAAATGTAGACCTGACTTTGAAAGACATGGCGGATAATGTATGATGCCAGGTAGGATGCAATGATGGGTCTATATGCTGCTGATCCTGAGTATATAATGATCGGGTGGAGACACGGATGGAAGAGTGAGTCACTCGGCAACTTTTAAGCCGTCTAGATCAAGACAATAGTCAGCCTTCATTCAACTGTTGGGCAAACTTGAAATATTTTTCTACGGAGAGTTCCCTTCATACTCAAGTGTTTATTGATTCCGCTGAAGTGGAGGGGAACCCCGAACCCCGATTGAAGGTCAAGGAAGTAGTCGCTCGAACGGAAAGCAAAGTAATATGTGATCGTATCCAAAAGACTATCTCAAGAGCCACCCCAGATAGGAGATTGCTGCCCCACTGGTATCTCTGGATCAATGCTATCGTGATAGTGACAGGAATGAGGAGGAAGAGGAAGAGGAAGAAGAAGATATGGAAAAGATGCGGGCAATAATTCCGGCTTATCAGGCACGCGTGCGGGGTAGCCCCGATACTATATCATCCATACATTCCATCCAACCCCAACACATCCACCTAACCCTACACTTCTTCATATCTTCATCTCTCCAACATGACAGCCAGAATCCCTCACGTCTCCAACTGGGTCAATGGCACCCATACGACCGCAACCGCATCACGTATCCCCGTCATCAACCCAGCCACCGAGCTCCCTATCGCAACCATCGACTCAACCTCCAAAGAAACCGTCGACCTAATCATCGCCGAATCCCTGAAAACCTTCAACAATGGCTCCTGGTCCCGCGCTGACCAATCCACACGCTTCACCGTCCTCTCGACCGCAGCTCGTCTCCTCCGCTCCCGTCTCCCAGAATTCATCCAATTGGAAACTCGCCAAACCGGCCGTCCCATCCGCGAGATGCGCGCCCAGCTAGATCGTATCCCTGAATGGCTCGAGTACTATGCCTCCGTAGTACGCGTGCACGAAGGCCGAGTAACTCCCTTCAAGGGACCAGTTGTGAACACCCTGACACGGCTACCCCTCGGCGTGGTGGCACTAATCACACCATACAACCACCCACTTCTCATCGCCATGAAGAAGATTGGGGCTGCACTGGCAGGCGGGAATGTCGTCATCGTGAAAGCATCGGAGCTAGCACCTCTGTCTGTGCTGAGGCTAGGTGTATTGTTCAAAGACGCAGGGCTCCCTGATGGCGTGTTGCAGATTATCAGCGGATATGGGTACGAGACAGGGAAGTATCTATGTGAGAGCCCCTTGCTGGCGAAGATAGACTTGACTGGTGGACTAGCAACATACAAGGCTATTGCACCATCTGCATCGACGAATCTCATCCCCATTACGGCTGAACTAGGCGGAAAGGCACCTGTGTGCTTGTTCCCCGGCGTGGGTATCGAGGATGCAGTTAAGGCTACGCTGTTTGCGAGCTTCATTGCTAGTGGACAGACATGCGTTACGGGGAGTAGGCTGCTTGTTCACACGGATATCTATGACGAGTTCACGGCGTTGCTAAAGGAACGGGTTAAGAAGTTACGGCTTGGTAACCCACTTGATGACACGACGCAGATTGGAACGGTTATATCCAAGACAGCGGTGGAAAGATGCGCTGCGTTTGTGGAAAGAGCTGTGCAGGAGGGTGGAAAGGTCCTCTGTGGTGGACATGCGACTACCAATCCCTCCACTGGAAAAGGGTACTACTTCGAGCCGACGGTCATTGAGACGCGGCCACAGACGGATCTGGAATGCAACGAGGTGTTTGGACCGGTCATTGCGCTGATCAGGTGCCATTCGGAGGAGGATGTCATTCGCATTGCCAATGCGTCTTCGTTGGCCCTGGGGGCTTCGATCTGGACGACTGATTTCTACCAGGCACATCGAGTGGCGGACAAGATTGAGGCAGGGATTGTGTGGATCAATGGACATCATTTGAATGATCCGTCGTCGCCGTGGGGTGGATTCAAACAGAGTGGAATGGGGAAGGAGAATGGGTTGGAGGCGTATGAAAGCTATACAAAGGTTAAGAGCACGATTATAAATTATGGGGTGCCTCCGGTTTGGTTCGATGATGAGCCTGTGAATGCTCGCTATGGATAGTATGGGTGCGTGGAACCTAGATTGGTTTGTTAGACCAAAAGCGGATATTGGATTACTTTCTGTCCCTAATGATTCTTATGGCTCTGGTATTTCTAGAAATTGATACATCCGTTATTGCATGTTATGTGCAGACTCAAACTAGACGGTACTCTGTGCAAAGCATGAGTGAGCCCTGTGCCATTTCCTACCCCAAGCCCCGTCACCTCCCTACTCTGTTCCCAGAGAAACTAGTGCAGAGAATAGTGCCACCCAACAGCAGTTTACCACAACCAGTTAGACAGCACACAACCATACCCCTAATCCAGCTTCCACTGCCTTAAAGTCGAATCGATATGAGCAATGAGGAGGAACGCAGCATTCCTAGAGCACACCGGTCCTTTAACACCCGCCGCACCTGGGGGAAACTCATGCATAGCAAGGGTTACGAAATCGTAGACCATAGTTGCCACACCACTCCAGTTAAAGACGAGCTTCTTTCCACCATCACAGAACCGTATGTCAGAAGCCAAGTAGGAATCCGGATCATCTTCCACCCCACGTCGATCTGCAACCCACTTCATTCTTTCCAGCCCGTTTGTAACATCCCAAATACTGAAATCACCGAAGTAGCCCGCAGTAGCCAGTAAGTTTCCATTCGGGCTCCACGCAATAGATTCAATATTGTATTCCAGACACTTCCACCGGGATGTCCTGGATCCTGTAGTGATATCAAAGATTTGTATCTCTGATGGGCAACAAATAGCACCGAAATTTAGGGCAATATGTTTGGAATCCGGGGAGAATGCACCATTCATTGCCTCAGGATTGTGTGGGAGCACAAAAGAGTTCTTGCAGATACCACTATCGGCGAGCCAAATCCGAACTGTGTTGTTCATCTCAATGGCTCCTATAAGTTTCGAGTCTGGACTTATTCCGGCCCACAAAATACCGACCGAGTGACCGAGTGGATCGTATCGAGGCTGTTTGGTTATGTCATCCCAGACTATAATCCTTGAAGGACGCCTTTGTGTGGTCTCACCCAATTCGGCCTGGGTGAAGCATAACATGAACCTCCCGTCCGGACTGAAGAGCGCAGTGTTTCCTTCCAGCTTGGTCTGACGCTCGCTCGTATGGATATCTAAAGCTTTACTCAATGTGTCTTTGATCCCTTGTTGAATTGATAAGATTGCTGGTTCGTTCGACTTCCACCAGTGGTTACCCATAAGTTTCACAGTTATTCCGCTAGCTGCTTCGGTCGATAGCTGGGAAATGTCGACTTTCCGACCACCAGAGGGATCTAAAATTGTCCCTTGGTTGTTGAGATACCAAAGCTTGATGTGATCTGATGATGAAACAAGAATATATCCTCCAGCTACTGTGGCATTCGGTGCAAAGGAAAGTTGCAAGATGTTCGATGGCTCTTCTCCGAATTCATCAACCAGCTGGAAAGTGCCGCCCCCTCGTGTATAGATGTTGATGCATTTCTCAAGTGCGATTGCAACCAACTTGTGATCTGAGCTCAAAGCGAGAGCAGTTATAGATTTCGAAACCTTCACTTTGAAACTCTCCTGGCCTATACGGTGAGTAGGTGCAGATGGTTCTAGTCTTCCTTGATGAGTCTCAGGAGTACTTTCTTCTGGGTCTTTGTGAGGAACATCCTGCGCTGAAGCTTTTCTTTTCCTCTGAGACTGAGACATTCTTTTGACTTGTGCCGATCCTGTAATGAGAAAGGCAACTTAAGCAGACAGAGTACAGTTTGAGATATCTTCAAGAGGTGATCACCAAGAGGTTTAAGTATGATTTCACAGATGAAGAGTAAACAGAATGGCGCGTCAGTAAAGTGTGATATAAACAGAGGCCACATAGACGAGATTTCGGTGGAGTAGATGCAGTACCAACACAACAAGATCGTCATTCACTGCGGACTCTCGTTGCACTCTATATGACAATCTTATCATAAGATGTGATGCAGAAATGGAAAGCATAAATCATTCTTATTCACTTGTATATGTTCTTCCGAGTTGTTAGATACATTCAGAAGGCAGAAGGTGAAGCAGCGGATTGAACGAAGAGGGGGAGGAGGCCAGTTCCTTCCGCAATGGGAAGGAACGCTGCACCAGCCTAATAAGAACGGTCGTGTTGTCAAATCTAGTTTCTGCATTGATATGTTAATATTCCAGTAGAGATGCGCTTTTTCCATTTACTTCTTCAAGAGCGTAATGTTGTTCAAAGTACTTGGAATGCTAATTGATGTTGAGGCGTTCCTCAAGTGCGATGGCAATCAACTTGTCATCTGGGCTCAAGGCGAGAGCACTCTTTAATCCCTGAAGCCGGACCCAGATAGCCTCTTGACCCACGCGGTGAACACTCCTCTCGTTAAGCTTGGGGATATTTTCTGGAAACTTCTATGGGACAATTCCCCAGGGACTTTCCCGTGTTAATACCGAGCCTCCGGCCTCATATAGATGCGTTGTTTCATGCCTCATAATTGGAGAGAAAGACAATACGATAGGAGATAAGGCAAAATTAGCAATTCATCAAGGAAGCCAGTCTCTTTGATATTCTAGATAGGCGTATAGAGAACTTCGTTGGAAGAAAAAAAAAGATATTTTGAATAGCATCATCAGTGGAGCAGATGCTATGGAAGCCGTTGGCAAAGATAATTCTACCCTACGAGCTTACTAGAGCCCTCTCTGGATCTATAGGACAAGATGATAAAATTGTACTTTCAAGTGCGAATAATATCTGAGGTCATTTGCAACAGCGATCCCAAAGGAACTCGTGTCTAGACTCAAGGCAGGAGCGGTTGCTGGTCCGCGAAGCTGCACTCCATCCGTCTCCTGTAACAAGTGATTAATAACTTTGGCTAAACATACTGCTCTGTGAATCTGTTGAGTATCGTGTTCACGGAAGGCATAACTTGGGGATCAGGGAGCCAATAGCTTGTGCCTGAATCTCAGGACTGTATACAGATGTTATAGTATAGGAGGGAGTCTACAGCCGTCGGGATTTAAGCCAATCAGGGCCGAATCCCAGTATTACACAACTAATATAAGTCAGCGCCATGAGTTAAGTACTAGGGAGGTCATGCTATACAATGCGGTGGAGGGGGTTTGGCTTACCTAGCTATCCAGTGACCATCGTGTGCGCGAAAAACGGAGTGTAGACGTCAAGGCTATCACGAGACCTCACGAGAAATCAAACATTTTGATACCACTTGAATGTAATACATCCATCAAGGTAGTGTAGGAATGATGGTCGAAAACTTTCAAGTCCGGGGCTTTCACAGATAGGATTGACAGGTGTTCCGCATACTGGCTGAAGCATACCGGATGGTAATACATCAGCACCGCCAAATCCAAATCTCCGCGCGTTGGCATAAAAGTCTAGACCGATTCATAGTCAAGATAGAGGAGACAGGTCATATTGACTGGTCGCTGGCGATGGAAAACCTGAGACAATCATTGGCGCCGTTGCAGTGGTGGCCAACAAGGAGGTTGAACGAAGACTTTGGGAAACCGCGGTTTAGGCTCAAAACAAAAGTACTGCAGAAGAGTGGATCTTTGATGCTGCAGGACTAAGTTCAGTTCACGGGCCCAGAGGTATGGAAAGCAACAGCACTTGGCAACTAATAGCCACCCGAGAAGCTCAGCAGCAAGCCCCTGGGGTCCCCAGCCTATGGTGGAAGCATAACCGCACTCGTGGATCCACAGATTCTCACCTGGTCGCTGATCGCTAGACTTGAAGGAGTGGATTTCCGGCGACTCTAGACCTGGAACAGTGGACACGGACTCACCCATTGCTGCTCCGGTCCGCATCCGTCGGTCACAATGGCGGGACTTGGCCTCTTTGTCCGTGAGGAAGTCAGTCGCGTGTGCAGAAAGTCGGCTGGTGGCAGACGAACTGAGGGGTCATGTCCATTTCCGTCCCGGTGGCGCCGCGTCTTGCTTTCACGCCCGTGGCTCGTCCGCCTTATTTCTTTGTTGTCGCTCGCAACCGTGCAGCGAGGTGGAAAGTCATCTGTTCATCCTGTGGTTTCATAGCTATATCTGCATCACCAGTTACCGAGATAAATGTGTCGGACTCATGGGCGGACACGGAGGAGTTCGGAGGGTCGGATATCATCACGCTGAACAGCTAAAAGTTTCACCGTACCTCCGTGCCATTTGTGGAGGGTGGAATACAGAGTTCAGGGCATCGACCTGGTCCAGGTGCCCCTGTCTTGGATGCATCCTCGTCTACGATGTTGCGGAGGCCCTATTAGCTGCATCGCGTGGCTGTGTGGAAGTTTATTTTGTATTGGTGTATCTATCTCCTAACATGAACATTTATGTACCCTCCAGATTATAGAGTTTTCCCCTTTCAACCATATTTCCCAGCGACACGGTCTGGGTATAGAAATATAAACTGGTAATCTTTGTAAAATCACGGTAACATAATACCGTGATGAGAATTTCGACTCTAAGATGCGTGAAGTGTGTGGATTGAGGCCACCGTCCAGATAGCTATCTCTTCGGGACTTCGGTCTGGGATGCGGTGAAAAGACGACAAGCTGATAATTCACCAGAGCGTCGCTAAGCCCCAACAGTCGCTTGATGTGACGTCAGATATATCTTCGGACCACTGAGTTATTCGCTGTAGTGGCGTTGAGGTCCTTATTTGGCCCGGATACTCCAGGATCATTCCGTGGTTGTTTTGGCGTGTCATACTGTGTATCGAAGAATGCCGGGAACCAATGACCAGAAATCAGACGACTGCCTCTTGATACAATTTTATTTAGCACTATTCAGAGCAAAGGGTCGGATACTTACTACCCTCAATTTTATTCAGTAGGGAAATACAGGCGTTCATCGCGTTGTAGGCAACACGGTTGCACTCCAACCACGCCCCTAAGTTGTTAGCATAGCCTATAGCAGCAAACGATTGATACTTGCAGAATCTGTGTGCATCACATGGCTGGCAATCAACGGAATGCAAGACGAGCTCTTTTTCAGTGGCACTCAAATTGATACTCTTCTCCATTGCATTGTACAAGCAAGTCTGGACAACAATTGGACAAGAGTAACCACGAGAATCTGATTTGAAGAAATTGATTTTTTCAACAACAGTTTTGCTGCATCATTAGCACTTTTATTCAAGACGCTGTGTACATCAACATTCAACTCACGTCATATAATATTGCATAAGACCAATTCTGAAGATATAATGGTAACCATAGTCTTTTGCCAGCCGAGCGAGATCTTCGTTTGCCATCTGCTCAGCACGGACAAGGGCATAGTGGAACTGAAACAGGTCTTCCCCTCGGAGCAACTTTTCAATTGTTGGGTCAAGGATGCTAATAAGCTGGATGGGGTGACCTTCGATGTCGGCAACGGATGCATTAACACAATAGTCGGCCATTATGGCCTTCAGAGGTTTCCAGTGACGACGGACAGGTACATCAACAGATTTGCTTGGGCCATATATCTGATGGAAATGGAGATTCAAATCTTCGCCGTTCGCCAATGCGGTAACATGCGCCATGAGTCTAGCAACACTCTGGTGGACAAGGAAAGAAGCTGAGATAAATGCTGCTCTCTCGCGAAGTTCAGCAGCAAGCAGAGTATTGCCAGCTACACCATCAAGATAGTGCAGTAGGGCATGGATTTTAACCTCCATCGTGAAGAACAAAGAGGAACTGTTAGATTCTGGAACCGAATGTGTTCAGAGGTTCAAGGAGGAGGAATATGAACGGTACTAGAGAGTGATAGGACAGAAATGTAGAAAGGATGTCAAGAAAGAAGACTAACATAGAAAGTTTGACTGGTGGTGTGTATGTATTAGCGCAAACAAACAATCAACAAGCGCCTTCGAAGCCAAACACAGAACTCGTATAGCTTCGTTATTAAATTCACGTCAACAAAGAATAGTACCCGCTAGCGCCACCGCCTAGACACAGCACCATCTGTCAAGTCTAACACAAGTGGGAACCTTTTAATACAGAAAGAGTCTTATATTTTAAGACTGTCTCTGAGTTACTTCTATGTTTGAAATCTCTGATGCTTTCCCATAATTGCTCCCATGATTCTATAACCGCTGCTCAAGATCATGATTAATCTGTTCATACCTTGAGTCTTCCTTTGCCTTTATATCAAATGCCAAGATGACTTCTATACCTCAAGCATTGAAGCCAACTACTGAGACCAGCGACAAGCTTACAGAGCTACTTTGGCAGGATGCCTTGCGCCATCTTGGATCCACGAATAATGAAGTTCTACTTCCAATAAATGTCATCGACATGATCGGCCAGACCAATGTTAACAAGATCAAGTCTCGCCTTGGGTAAGACAGCTGTAACCACAATTGATCAATTATGTGCTCATATATGGTTTTAGTGCTCTCATAGGTGCTTCAGTCGTGGCTTTCGCCGATGAGTCAATCAACGCTGTTCGTGTCATGCGTACTCCAGCGTTTTCAGGCACAGCAATATCTGTAGCATCCCATGAGGTGTCATGCGAATCAATCACAGCTCATATGAAGAAGCATGAGCGGCCTTCTGTTACTGTTAAGGCTGCTAAGGTTCCTCGTCCGCCAAATGCATTTATCCTGTACCGCCAACATCATCATCCTAAGCTCAAGGAGGCTCACCCGAATCTTTCAAATAACGAGATTTGTGAGTTTCCACTACTGTGCATACGTTGGATAATCGACTAATTTCCCCAGCTGTTATTCTAGGGAAGCAGTGGAAGGCAGAATCCGAGGATATCAGGGTCGAGTTTAGAGCCCTGGCCGATGAGTTGAAGCGGAAGCATGCAGAAGCTCATCCCGACTACCAATACACACCACGTAAACCATCGGAAAAGAAGCGTCGAACATCATCTCGCCGAAATTCCAAACAGACTGTAGAGAACAAGTCTCCAGATCTCACGACGGCCAGCACCATATCAACAAGTCCGTCAATGGACACATATGGGCCGATAAACGATATGGGAATTGAAGGGACGATGAATATCTTTACAGAATACAATATGCCAGAGATTTACCCCAGCGACTTGATATGCAGCGACATAATGCCAAGCGAACTACCACTGTTAGCGGCCGATCACTTCCAGTTAGACACGGAGACATTGGGTTCGTTGATCGGGCAGGTTCATACAGACATCGGAAAAGGAACAGGAGTGTATGCCTCTCCATCGGCCCATGTCAACTTAACAGACCGACATCTTGGCGAAACTGTCAACTTCTCAGAATTTATTTCCGATCTTTATTGAAAGGGGAAAGCATATTTTCACTTTTCGCCTTTGTTTCTCCCATATTCTATATCTATTACACGGTCTTCAACGGCCAGCACGAAAATTAGAGGACACGACTGGTTCTTTATATGAAATTGTCGCGTCCACACTATACCCCTATGTACCTGGCTTAGAATCATGTCACCACACTCTACTAGGTACCTTGTTTTCGGTTATTTTATCCTCTGATAAAATAAAAGCAGGCGGCGATGAAACCATATCTATATTTAGTTAAGGAGCATGTATGTTTCGCAATGACAACATATTTAGACAAGCCTATCAGATAGTACAGGTTTATCCAAGAAGCCGAATAACATATGCATCTTTGATAGTGTGCGTAGCACTAGCGCACACCGTCAACTTACAATAAAGAGCGAACATGAGCATTAGGGCCAACAATTAAGCACCCACCCCCTGCATTTCTGTAACTCACCAACCAAGGCTCGTATTGTGGCAATATTCTAGTCGTATTGAAAATTGGGCAAGATCTGCAGTACCTGTGAATTGACGAGTAAGCTATCAGGCTGGAGAGACATAGAAATGCCGGGGGCTGGTGGGGTGTTACTCCAGGGGAAAGGGGCTAGACCACTAATGAACCATACAATGGGAGACTCGATCTAGGCCTGTCTCTCGAGGGGACCAGACATGTTTTGAGCAGCATTATTCACTGGCTAGACTGAAGGGCGAGAGGTATTCTTTGCCATATTGATACGAAGCAAGCAAGCAGACAGGAATCCATCTAAGAATGTCTCTTACTGCAGTTGTGGGTAGACGAAGGGGTCCTATGAGTTGGCGAAGCTTGTTGCTACGAGGCACAAGATGCACAGCCTAGACTTATTACCATTACTCATTAAGTAGCTATTGGTGCAATGCGAGTATGATATTAGCTGAGGAACAAACAGAGTGTGGGCTGTAAGCTGAAGTTCTGACTACGTAACTTGCGCGGCGTCTATTACATCAGACGCGCGTTGTGTTGGTACAGACAGCAATGACTACCTTACGATGGAAATACAGAACATAACCTATGATTGTGTTTCATTTGTTGCTGTGGCTACCTACGACATCGAAGAATTCCTATCACTTGCCCAAATAAATGTCGGACAGCGCCATTGTGTTCCTTTCTCCTTGTTGCCACTGGGTCCAAGAGGCCGAGGACAAATCCAAAAGGATCGCCCACAGTTGACGCCAGGCTTTTTGGTTGTCAAACTAATGCATGGCTCCTGGTGACTTTCGCATAGGGGTGCGCGCTTTTTGGTAAATAGCTTTGACCAATCTTCCTTGCTCGCAATTGGGTCGACGAATGTGTCATCATCTGTCGGGGTGTCTGATGTCGTTGACATCGATGGATTGGTTTCCTTTGTGGAGTCTGTGGTCACGGCCGCCGCAACTTGCCCCTTGTCTATTGCTTGTGACTCTGCCGAAGACATCATCTTGGATGGGGATGCAGGTTGGGGCATGGCACATGTTTCAAGGTCGGCCGTTGGTTGATCACGGCTCTGTATGGCTGGGGAACTCTTCGGCTTGAAGAATCCCTTGAGCGTTCTCTGTCCAGCAACTGCCGGCGTGGGTGCTAAGCCAGCTACTGATTTGGAACGTTTAACAGGGGAGTCGCCCTTCTCGGACCGTTTACGGACAATTCCCTTTGGCTGGGGATCGTTCTTGGGAATGGCGTGGTTGGCGACTGCTTCCGTTGAGAGCTTTCCGATGACAGCTTTCAATTCTCCACAATTCGAATTCGCACGGGAAAGCGTAGGGGTACTAGTTGGGGAGCTCTGGGGGCCGTTATTGGGTCTGCGCGTGAACATGTCCTTGATGCTCCTTCGTTTGTCAAACTCCGGTATCAAGCGGCCCGAAGTCGGTAGTAAACACTTCGCCGTGTATTCGTGTCGACGCTCGCCATTTTCGAACATTCCAGGAGGGTTCATGATGTCCCGGATGTTAAGTTGCTTCCCCCCAAGATGTACGGTTTCTTTGAACGTCGCATACACAGGACAATGGTCAGAGCCCTGTGCAGTCATGATTAGCAAGCTCTCTTCTGGGTCAGGGAAGACTAGACTACCATAAGTCCTTCTTGAATGTTTGAATCGCTGAACCAGTCTTGCATATCCAAGCTACACAAGACATAGTCAATTCTTGAGCCATAATTTCCCGGGCGAGCATTGATTCGCTGCTCCCAGCAGGTGTACATTCCCTTGCGGTCCGGATGAAATGAGCGACAGATGTCATGCAGAACAGGCTGTTCTCTTCCTTCTTCCCGTTCCCCGATCACCTTCCCGTCGGATAGCAACTGATTGAACACACGTCGTGCATGAGTGGATACGAACTCGTCTTCCGTCAATGTCCCTTTTCGGATAGCCTCTCCCGCATGAGCTGCATCGATCTCTCCCCGCGAGATATTCAAGTCACCCGTCACAAACACCCTCTTCCCCATACCTACTAGGTTACGTATCCGCGCGTCCATCAGGTCGATAAAATTGCGGCGGAATGAGTCGCGGCTCTCATCCCTATTGGCCGGTGAATAAATGCCCAGCAGGACAAAGGCGGGAAACTCGAGAATGACGCAACGTCCCTCGGAGTCTAGTGTGGCTGCATCAACATCAAACTGCGATAATTGCTCAATGCTTGGATAGCCACCGATCTGCTGATCCTCAGGAAGTTCTCGAAAGGGCACCGACGAGTTCGGGGGGCATAACATCCCCGAAAGACCTTCCTCAGCGCGAATGGGGGCACATGTAGAATTGCGTGTGTAGATCACGACACCAGAATAGCCTATGGTGGTTGGTCAGACAAGCATTTATTAAGACATATCGCACATACCTTTCTTGACTCTAGGCAGACTAAAATAACAATCCCAACCAGGCACGAGGACCATGTCATCGCGCAAGTCTTTGCGCTGGATTTTTGTTTCCTGAAAGACGACAATATCGGCCTCGAGGATGTCAAACATGGCCTTCTTGGAGTCAGTCTTCTGTTTTTAGAAGAAATGATGGAAAGCATACATCGAACGTCCGCTTGCCTCTCCATGGCTCGTAAGAAAACGGATTTCTGCATTGGTAGATCAGCAATGCTATTCCAGCATGCACCAGACAGCATCACATACCGTATCCCGTTGACTGAGCACTGTTAGCATCCTTATGGTAGGGGTTAGGGCCCGAAAATCATACCGTTCCATGTTGTAATTCGAAACCCCATTCCGGCACTATGGATGCCAATCACACATGTCCGCCCAAGAGTTACGAGAGTATCCCATTCAACGAATATTGATAAATAAAAGTCCACCACTCATGTAAAGCTACCAACTTGATAGTTGAAACCGACGCCGATGATTCACATCAACAGAGGTGCAGTAGTAGTTACAAAGCAGTTATTTACCTCGCCAATGCAAGCAGGAAAAGAAGGGAGGCAACGAGGCAACGCTGAACCGAAGGCAGCAATAATATGTGCCTCAGGCAGTCTACATCCAGAAAGACATAGACTGCCAGAGGCATATTGCACGTGACCATGACTAGCCACTCCATCCCCGTGACCGTGACATCACGCGATCTGAGCCCGTTGCTGACATAAGCCTAATGGGAAGCCAGCGAATCACGGGGACGCTAAACGGCTTTTGTTTCGTTAAGCCGGAAGGGCCGACGTCCGGGATAATCCCACCGTCAAAGACGTCGTCCCATCTCTCCAACGTCACTCCCTCCACACCATCCACCTCCAGCCATGTTCCCTCAGCGTAACGCCCTTCGTCTGTCCCAGCGCGCTGCCCAGCAGCTGCGTGCTGCTCCGGTCCGCTCCACCGTCCAGCGCCGTCTCAACAGCTCCGACTCCAAGCTTCCCTCTTGGGCCGCCGACAACGCATTCAACCGCGAGAGAGAGGCCGTTAAGCACCATGCTGCTGCTACCAGTGGTGCGTATCTAGATCAATTGATGTCGTGGTTTTTCAAGGGTGTGGTTGTGCTAACTCAATGGCTGGTCTTCCTACTTCAGACCTGTGGCGCAAGCTCTCCATCTAGTATGTGGAACTAGCTATTACTACCTCAATTGACTTTCTAGTAACATTTTATTTTCCTCGCAGCGCCGTCATTCCTATCCTGATTGCCGGAGGAATCAACTCTTACAACCTCTGGAACGAGCACTGGGAGCACTGGGCGCACATGCCCCCGCTCGAGGAGCGTACTGAGTACCCCTACCAGAACATCCGTGTGAAGAACTTCCCCTGGGGAGACGGTGACAAGGTGCGTACCAGAACTTGTATACTTTTATCAATGTTAATTTGGTTGCTGACGATGTTATCTTTTTACCAGACCATCTTGTAAGTTCCTTACGCCAGAACCGTCCAGCGTCGCGTACAGCTCGATAGTCATTTATAACCATGCCTTCTAACAAACTCACAGCTGGAACTCCGACGTCAACTACCACAACAAGGACAAGGCTACCTAAGTGGCCGCTGTCGATTTTGGGAGTACAGCGTCTTTTTTGATTGATTCTGACTGTTGACGGGAGGGCAAATCAAAAGACATGTATATTTACTGACAAAATACGCGGAAGTGAGAATAACGAGGCCAAGGCTCTCGTCGGTGGATTTGAGATAGCGCACCATACAATACTGCTAAGCCATTTTTCTTTTGTTGTGCTGCCTCGTTGTTTCTAATGACCAGTAACGGTCGTATTGGCTTTCTTGGGTATTTCTTCTACCCGTATTACAGGAGTAAAATGGCGCAGAGGCCGACGCCAAAGACTTTGTTGGTAGATTTGTTGTTTCCCCTGTCACCTTGCAATTATCTAAAACATACAATTGACATCAGTGCGTGATTCAATCAAGCCTCCCCAAAGTCTATCCTTGCTTGTTTCTTCAAGTCCAAGTACTTCGCCGCATAGTCATTTGCGAGGACCGGATCGCCCGTTAAATGCATAACAGTGGCTTTCTTGGCCACCATTTCACATTGGCCCTTGATATCTTCGATCTCCTCATATTGCTCATATGCACAGTCGAGGTACCCCAAAGCGCGGGTGACATGTTCCTTCCGCAGAACCGAGTTCGTCTGTCCCTCACTCCAGAGAGACCCGGCGATCCCCATATTCGCGTCCACAAGAAGCGAGTAGGCCTGTGCAGCCAAGCTACAGTCACCCGTTTCGAGAATTTGCGGCATGATGCTCTCAACCAGCTCAGACACCGCGTCGAACTCGCGCATGCTCAGAAGGACGCCTGCCAGCACGCAGATGGATTCCCAGAGGCTGGGAAGGAGACGCGAGCGGTGCGCGATACTGGCGGCTCTCATGGCAAGGGAGAAGCCGCGTTGCGGATGACCTGTCTTCTGGAGGATGGAAGCCTTGAGACAGAGGAGCTTGACTTGCGTGAAAATGTCAAAGTTGTCTTGCTGGATAGCCTGCGCGGCTTTTTCAACCAGTTCGAGCGCGCCGCCGTAGTGGCCTTGTCGAATACGGAGGTCGATCGTGAGGATGGAAAGAAGAAGGGTAATGTCGTTGTCAGGGAGTTGGATGGCTTGCAGTTGAGCGAGGAGGTGTTCGGCTGCAACTCGGTTGTCGCTAGATGCTGTGAGTTGGTTGTCATGCAATTGAGTGCTAGGAACCTACCGGTATATCTGCTGTTGCAGCTGGAGGATACCAGAGAAGAACGTCCAATATTGATATGTTTTGAGCGATCGAAGCTTGTCGGGGGAGATCTGGTTCATTCGGGCTGATACCTCTGTGTAGCGGCCCTGCTGTGCTAGCTTTGGAGGGTCAGTGATGTTGTTCGTTGAAAAGGACGTTTGACATACTAGTTGACAGCTACGAAACGTGCTTTTGAGATGGTCTTCAAACGGTGCTTTGTTTGCGTAGCATTCGCGAAAAGTCTCGCCGCTCAACCATGCTAGATGTGTGATGCCTGCAATAAGAGTATTAGGAGGAGTTTATACAATGACATGATATGGAAGCGTACCAATTCTAGAATAAAGTGCAGCCTGTAGCAGAAGCTGTGGGCCTACCGAGTTCGCCAGGTTCTTTGTAACGTTGAGGTGTGAGGCTCGAATTATGTTCTCGATAGACGAGGCCAGGCTTTCTCCCTGGAAGATGTTATGTTTAGTGATACATGAGGTTGGTCGACATGGGGAGACTCACATTACGCATCTCCAGCTTCGCTTCGCTCAATAACGTCGTACTCAGAAGACTCCACATCTCTGTCTCTTTTGCCTTGGCCTTGAGAAATGCAAGGCCTTCTTTCTCGTTGCCCAACATTCCTGTGTTTTGAACGTCTCTCATGTGCTCTGGAAAAGCCTTACCGAAGTGATACAACCAACTCATACAAAAGTTTAAGCAGTTCATATCGTGTGATTCACGAGCAATGGAAACAGCCTCCTGCATGGCAGAGACGGCCTCGCCATAGCATCCGAAATCCGCCTGCAAGATAGCAAGATTCAGCAACGCGTACTGATAGGAGCTTCGATCGCGACTGTGCATAGTGCAGTCGAAGTAACGGTGCAGGTTGTCAAATGACGACGGATAATCTCCTGCCCTCCAGGCATCAAGAAACCTAGAGAGTCAGCCAGCATCCCGTGTCGCAGATCAATTAGCCAACAGCATACCTCAGATAGTGCACTAGATTAGGAACAGTCACACCGGACGTGATGATACGTTCTAATTGTGCTTTCATGCCATCCGGCACTCTTCCCCCAAGACCTGAACAAGAGTCAGTATTTAATATGCGGGCATGTAGAGGCGGCTCATTACTCTGTAGCTCGCTTATTTGGAATTCTAGGAGCCGCTCGACATCCTTTGTGCTGACGTACTGCTCATCCTCCGAGTCATCCTCGATACTGCCGTAGGCGACCTGCGCAAGGGAATCCGTTGTATCCAATCCAAGGTTTAGCAGATTGATATCCACAGGTGCCTGCTCGAGAGATGGATTCTTCCGCGCCCATACATGGTACGTTGGCAGTCGATACTTGACAAACCCCCTCCAGAGCTTGACGGAGTCATGGAATTGCAGTCTGGTGAATTCTAGCTGGGAACGTCTGACAAACACACCCAAGGGAGAGCTCCGAGACAGGCGCATACAGCCCGTCTCTGGTGCAAGGCCCGCATCTCGATCGCGGATTTGTTCTTCTCGAGTCTTGGCTAGAATAGCCGAGATATCAGCGAAGAAGACTTCCAACGCATCGCAGCAATCGAGGGACCAAATCTTTTTCAGAAAAAGGTCCCAGATTGTACGGCCAGGGACGGAGGACGGGTGGCCCGTTAGTTTATCCTTCAGGTCAGTGATGGAGACGGAGCATTGCGTTGTCTGATCTCCCGATGGGGAAATGGATTGTTCTCTTTCCAAGGGGCTGAGACAGGTTACCAGATACGAGAGGACATGAATGGCGGAGGAGTTGGGAACAACGCCTTCAGTATAGATGGAGATGAGACAAAGGAGGGCAACCTTGGAAGGGGTGAGATAGCGACTCATGGTGGTTAGAGGTCGTTATACATAGCCTGGCCCCACCAGGAGGAGGCTATGATAGTTGCAGCCACCACGCGGGCTGCAGTTCGCAAAGGCCAAGCAGCCAGGTGGAACCCAGTGGGAATGGATTGTGCTGGGGGTGAACAACACGAGTGACCCAGGAGCAATGGGCGGAGTGGTTGATACTGGCTGTTTTGATTTTTTGGGATGCAGTTGGCCAGACCTATCCTCGCGCAGACGGCAGGCATAAACAGAACCGTGGAGGAAAAGCGTGAAGGGAAAGAGGGAAAAGAATAGTGGAGCGTAGGATATAAACAATGGAAACAGAGTAACAAGTACATACGACCACAGGGTGTGGAAAACAGGGCTTCCCGTCCGCTCAGCCGTACTTAAGCCACACGCCGGGAGGTTAGTAGTTGGGTGGGTGACCACCAGCGAATCCCTTCTGTTGTATGTTTTTCTCTTTTATTTTATTTTTTTTATCACCATCTACTTTCTTTTCTTATTCTACTCGATATCGTAAATAACAGGGCTACTACTACCGTTTGTCTACCTCGCTTTCATGCAAAGGGGCTCTGTCTGTGTTAAAATCAGTGTTAATGTACAAACAAAACCACGACAGCTTGGCCTACCGAATCTAGGTCTGGGCCTGATCTAAAATCGCTTAAATTCTGGAGAAGGTCATAACCTAGAATCAGAATCAACTCCCATGAGACCTTTCTGCTTGCAAGCGGCGAGAAACTATTCGTATGAGAGAACGCGTGCCTTAGCACCGGAGCCTGGTAGGGATGCAAGCCAATCTGTGTTGGCAAACGGCCAATTCTTAGGTGGGATTGTTCCGATTCCTGGAACGAGAATATGCTAAGTCTAAAAGCAAGTGGATTGATTTCCAGAGATGAGCCTAATGTGCGTTTTCTTACTATACACTATCCTGTGAACTAACAGCCGGATCCAGCAGCACCTGCAGGTGGCCAGCAGTTGGAATATTGGTCTCTGTTGTCATGGGTGAGAATCACCGAAAGGTTAGCTGTCCAGATAAATTGAGTAGAAACCCCGGCTTGGGCAGTTTTTTTGGGCAGGTAATAGCTGCTTGTCTTCCATCTAAGTTCCGTCCATATGTTCAGGTGCGGGGGTGGGCGCTTAGTACTAATCACATCACAGGCAGGTGTGCAAATGATTGGAATATCTCCTTAAGTACGCATTAATACCTACTTAGTAGCCGCGTACGCCGTGTCCACTTCATTGGTGAATACTAGACACACCATCAATATACTAAATTTCAGAAGCGCTTTCTCCATCTAAAGGGAATTCTTACACAACTGTCACAGCTACCCAGGGACAGAAGTCCAATGATGTTACTAAAAGAGGCAATATTGCAGAGTGGCATAGCCCGTAGTTTTATGAGCCCCTCATGCGACGAACCACAGATGAAGTCACATCCCCATATCTTTGCTATTATTAGCGCATCTGTGCTGTAGGGGTTCATGATCTGTCGAGTACCTCATAGCCCAGAGAAGCGGAGAATATATGATTGGTATATATGATAGTCTCTACTGTAGAATTTACTGTAGTACTCGGGCAGTGGTCTTGACATAAAATGTCTTGTTTGACAGACTTTACAGTAGTTAAGAGCTATTATGTACCCTGTCGGATAATTCCAGTCGGCACGGGATAGTGAAACTATTGGACTACCACTGGTTGTAGACTTGGTAAATTATACTTTATGTGTCTATCAAAACAATTGAAGTCATAGGAGATGATAATTACTCGTAAATACTGGCATACATATGTAAATGGGCCACAAATGCTGCGATCAACAAATTTACTCAATGCATTGGTTTCTGGAGATACGAAGACAGGTGAAGACACTGAAATATACATTGGTATCCTTTGTGGATTGACAAGTTAAGCATACATTTCTGGGAAAATCTTGGGGGTATATTAGGTTTATATCGAGAACTTCCGACTTTCAAGTATAGAAGTCATTCTCTCGATTCTT